GGGGGGGGTAGGGTTTTCCGAGCTGCGCTCAGTAAACACAACTCTGATCGAGTCGGGTGTCTAACCGAACCTCGAGCACCCTTAAAATGGTAGCCAAGTCAAGTTCAAGCGTACTAACACACTCTCAGCTACACATCACAAATTTTTTAAATGATATTTAGAGACTGTGGGTTTTTTTTTTCATTGCGCTCTAGACGCTTTTCCTAATTTAACTTTATTGGTCCAGAGCGCTGTAGAAGGTGGGGGTGGTTTTGGGGGTGGGATCTGATTAACAGTTTGGTCATAATTTCGTGGCACAAATTATGAAGCAACAGCATGGGGTTAGGGCGTGCAGATGAAAGGCCCAGGAGAGATCTGAATGGAGGCATGTGTTGAAGCAGGCCAAAGCCCTTCATGGGCTGTAGCGCCACTGGAATGGATGGATGGAAATGGTGAAATGTGTGGTTGAGTTTATGTGCTAATTAAGCTCCTTATGGCAGAGCACGCCACCCCCCATCCCCTTTTCACACACAGATCTACAAAAGTGCACGTAGCTTAATTGAAAGATGGGATTTAGAAATGTATGTTAAAATAATAATATATATTTTTATACATATTCACGCTTCTATTTTCAATATATTGTGAGCTTGCGCTCCCTGAGCTAGTTTTATATGTATTTTTGTTGTATAGGTAAGATCTATTTTTATATATTTTATATTATAGGTTAGTGTCAGATTTTATAATTGTACTTCCGCATATTTATATAGGTTAGTGCGGGATAGTATAAAAGTGATGTACTACATGCTGTCTTAAAACAGTTGAGTGTACATTTGACCAGTGGTCAGTACCATATCTGTCTGTGTGACAGCTGAAGATCTTTGTGGTCTGTCGTCTAATTATTTTATTATTCTGTACTTGGGACGGCCTGTAAGTTTGTAACTATTTGATATTTTCTTTTACTAGATCTATGGCACACTGTGTGTAAATATGCTAGACATATTTTAATTTAGTTTTATTTTCTAGTTGGCAGTTTATGTTTTGAGCATGTGATTTAAAGATGGCGGAGTCCATCAGTCCTGTTTTGAGTTTTCTAGATGTAATAGAATATATGATTTTATGTATTGCAGGCTACTATTGCTGCTTTTAGTTGCTGAAAGTAACTGCTGTGTCACTGCTTTTAGCTGCTGCAATTACACTGCTGATTATAACTGCTATTACTCTTGATGTAGATCTAGAATCTAGTGTTATTTTGTTTTGTAGTGTAGCCTTAGTGGCTTAGATTAGTAAACTTAGTTATAAGTTATAGTCTGTTTCTGTTCTTAGGGAATGCTAATAATAGGGTACTAAGGCTAAGGTATTCTTGTTTTAGTTGTAGTTATGGGTTGGTTATAGTATAAGTAGTAGAATATTGTAGATCTAGACTAGTTTATTGTAGTGTGTTTGTGTAGATCTAGGTCTAGTATAGTGGTTGTCTTGAAGTGATTTAGTTAGATAGTTGTTTTGATCAGTTTGTGTTAGATAGTTGGTTTGGTTAGTTTTTAGTGGCGTAGATTAAGAGGGTTTTAGTTAGTATTAGTTGTTTTCATTGTAGTGTATATATTTTATTATTGATTTATATTTTAGTATGTTAATAAAGTTCCGTTTTGTTTATTTATCCTAAACTAAAGTTTTTTATCTTGTTTTCATTTAGTTTAGGTTAGTATAGTTAGTATGTCTGGTTACTTAGGCGATTCTAGCCCCTTGGTCATCATACCGAGGTGCACAGATTGAGCCCACCCAGTAGTGCAAACATCTGCCTACTGTAATAAAATTTAATGTTGAGCAGAAGAGAATAGGTATTTCCCACTCGCGCCTGCCTGACCTGCTCACAATATTAAATTTGCTTTAGTTAAAATCCAAACAAACAGACAAAAGAAATAAAATAAAAATGAAGTTCCTCAGAAGTAATGTACACTCCGAAAATTTCTGTGGTGAAATAAAGACAATTGATTTGCACACTTGAAACTTGAGATGAGATGAGGCTGATTATTTGATACCAAGCTTATATTAGCTTCTCCAGTAAGTCTGCTTACACATCTTGTGCTCCAATTTTTACCCATTTCGTATTATCGTTAGATCAACAATTTTCTTTGTCGATGACAGGACAAGAATCAATCAAACAACTAAATAATTAGTTCATCCATTTGTCGTCATTGGTACATGTTATTTTATCAACAAAATGTACTAATCTTAAGGGAGACAAGCTTTGTGTAAAGAATGTTATCGTTTGCTAATAATCTTAAACTGACAATAAATTAAATAAAACCTTTTAATTTTAAAATTTTTTGTATAGCTAAGTGGCAACACGGCTAAATATGCAATCGTGCAATTTTTTTTTTTTACAATTTGTTTAATAGTGGTCATTTGTGATGATCGGTCACAACATTGTCTGTAGAGGCGTTTGTGATGTGTGTTTGTTTATCTGTGTGTGTGTTTGTTTATCTGTGTGTGTGTTTGTTTGTCTGTGTGTGGGGGGTCGGAATTTAGTGATTATTTTCTGCTTTGATTTTGTTTATTTTAGTTGAGATTTTAATACTAAACCATCACTTGCCCAAGCACGACCAAGGGGGTTTTGAGTTTAAAAGCCCCTACCAGGGGGGTTTGAGTTTAAAATTTTTGTGGAAACAGCTTGACGGCAAATGCGCCAAACGGCGCGGGATGGTCTAAATCAGTAAGAATAGCACATTAGGCTTTGGACAAAAAAATTAATAGCAGGAAAATGCACTGTAGATACCTCAAAATATGCATGTTGTTGGCTTTCAATACCAGAAATAGTGCTTGGCGGCGGGGCTTTGCCCCGCGCTGGGGGAGCTCCTAGTGGGGAGGGGGGAAGAAAGCCACCCCCCCCCCCGAAAAATAATTCTGGCTACGCCCATGCAGGCCCACATAGGTCTCACAAGTCAAATGCCGCGAAGAAATAAAATTTCAGCATCGTCTTATGACTTACGAACTATACAGGCTACATAAGAAAATATGCAACAGATGGAACCTAAGAGAGCTGTAATGAAGCTACTTTCGCAAATATTAATTCTTTTTAGTCTATTTATACTAATGGCCAACTAGTTAATTGTTCCAGTAGTTCGTGGAACATCTAGCCAGGCCTCGCGGAACACTAGGAATACAGTTTAGGAAACACTGCATAAGAATATACTTATATCTCTATGTTGTATATTGTAACATTAAAGTGTACATATGTGGTTTATATTGTAACATTAGAGTTTGCATATGTTACCATAACATTAGAGTTAACTTATGTTTTGTACGCTATAACATTAGAGTGTATATGTGTGTTGTACACTATAACTTTAAAGTGTAAATATGTGGTGCAGACTGCAACAAGATGAAAGTGTGCACATATGATGTACATTTTTTTAATTTGATTTCATATCGTAGATATTTTTATAAAGTCTACTGGAGTAATCACTATTTCTTTGGGGGTATCTAAATTTTAGGATCTCATTAAAGGCAATCTTAGTAGTAACCTATCTATTTTCCTTTTTTTTTTTTTTTTTTGATAGTCTACATATTTTAGCATTTGAGTTTGCTTTGATTTAAAAAAAAAAAAAAAAGTTTAGGCTTGAGAAAAAGCAACAGAAAATAAATATGTCATGTGTTGGAACGATTTTATATTTTAAGCGAGGTGTTTTATTTCGTTTTAAAAATCTCATTGGCTTTGACATATTCACAAATTATGTACATCAGTGTGTACTTGGAATTTTCATTATTGTCTTTTTTAAGTTGTACTTTATTTGAATATACTTACTCACTAATATCATCAGTGAAATAGATATACGTGAGGTCCATATATTACAAGACGCATTTTGTGTGAACAAGGCTAAACTTAAATGTATAAAAACGAAGAGAGACGTTATAAAAATATAGTATCACATTAGTAAAATGTTGCTTTCACTATAGTCTTAAATTACAATTGTGTTGTCATGTACCGGGAATTTCCTTCATGTTAAAATAAAAACGTTAAATAGCGGCTATATCCCAAAATAGCAAAAATAAGAATTAAAATTTCCGATTCTATTTATAATTTAGTTTTTATACCATAATCCTTAAATTTCATATTTTCAGGGCCGGCTAAGGCACAGGTAAACTAGGCAGCCGCCAATGACATCCGATTGGTAGGGGCCTCGCAAAGGACTCGAAACATTTTTTCAAAGACAAAGCTTGTTCTCAATGTTATTGTTGGAGTATACTAGGTTTTATTAAATTGCGTAATTTTAGTTCTTTCGATGTTTAATTTGTATTTTTCTATTTCATTTAATGTCACCAAATTCACTTCGCCTAGGGGGCTCCAATTATTTAAAAGCGGCCATATTATTGGTAATCCTTTTTTTTTTTTGGAATAATACTTTATATTGAAAATCTCAAGCTGTAATTCTTAGTTTCATAAATAAATAAACCTGCAAACTGGCAATTATTTCTTTTCATGTTTCTTACAGCAGTATGAGCGTAATACGGTTCAAGCTATGCATGATAATTAGTGACATAAACTATGCTAAGTCCTGGGTTTTCATGGCTGATTCAGACAACCGTATGGAAGAAGGAGAACTTGTTCGAATTTGTCCTTGCATTTGGAATAAAAAAATATGCCTCATCCCATACCTTTTAATCTTAGCAAAATACTTAACATTTTTGTGAGTGAAACTCTAGATTATGTTCATTGTAAATGATATAACAATAGCTTTTATTTTTAGAAGTATCTAAATTTAGTTTCTTTCATTTGTGTCCAGATCATTTAGTAGCTAATAACACTGAATATTGCACTATTTACGATTAAGTTTTAAAATGTTTAATCAACAATTAAAGCATTAGGCTAAGTATAACAGACAGACTGACTGACAAAGTGGAAGAGAAATAGAGACACGCAGACAGAGAGAAAGCGAGAGACAAGAGAGAGAGACAGGCAAATAGAGAGAGATACAGAGAGAGAGAGAGAATTACTCAATAATTGAAAAACAAAAATCCATAGTATGTTTATTTTCGGTTTAATTATGCCTTCTACTTAAAGACAAAGTTGTTGTTTTTTTACTTAAGCTACATCATATTTACATGATCACAAGCCAAATTGTATAAATCCAATCTCTAGAGCAATTTAACACACAATCCATTCTAAACGAAATTATGGTGGGGAAAAAAAACAAAATAATAAACAACTGAAACGCTTATAAAGTATAAAATTAGATGTGAGTTTTAAATAAATGTCTACCTAACAGATTCTAGTTTATATAGTTCTATGCTACTTACGGTAAGATCCACAAGCTGTTAACTATGTAGTTCTCTATTTGTAGCTTCAGGTCTGCATGACACTTTAGTGTATGTATTAGGGGAAAAATTGTGCGTGTGTGCTTTCATGTTTTTAGCGGGAAAAAAAGTTTGCAGACGTGATCATTAAAAATACTACTGTATCAGTATCTATTTTTAGCTATTACAATTTTTTTTCCTCCCCTATTTATAGTTTCCTATGACAATTTACTTATGCACATCTTTTCTAGTCTCAAATAATTTGTGTCTATTTCAACAGTTTTATCTTACAAATAACAAACTTTTCATGTTACGTCCTTGCCCATGTGTTAATATAGTTACTGCTATAAAGAGCAAATAAGGCGACTCTCTGCCCTTACTGGCGTAAAGAAAAATAGCTGGCAGCAGATGGTCACTGAAAGAGACAGTTGGAGAGCACTCACTTTGGCACACATCTGAAGCACCCAAAGAAAAACCCTTGTTGAAGACAGTCGCAGAAGACCTAGCTAAAACTTAAATAGAACCCTGGCATAAACGCATCAGATTTCGAACAAATATGCAGATCGCATGCGGGCTTACGTGGCCATGTTATACAAAGTACTCGCCCTTAATCTTTGGACACGACGATGTTGCTATTATTATTATCCATCTAGTCAAGCGTGTTCATTTGAAAAGTAAAGTTGGTTAATAGTTGGTTTTTCTGTCTGAGCAAGCTTTTAATAGCACTAAAAAAAATAAAAAGCATTTAAAGGAATATATAAGACAAGTTAGAAGTCATTAAGCTCCTTATGAAAGTACAAAAAATAAGGTTACCCTTTCAGACCATAGGGCAGATGATGTTAAGGTCATAGGTTTCTATGACCAACGGTTGACGAGCAGGGTTTCGTGTGGTCAGCTCAACGACCAATCACCTTTACTTTCCCACAATTCAAGTCAGGTACCTATTAGTGTTGGGTGGACTCAAGGTCCCGAAAACAAAATCTCACTATTCACCTAGATTCGAACCCATGACATCAGGTTCGGAAGTCAAACGCTTAATCACTCAGCCGTAGCGCCCCCAAACTACTTATTACTAATATTTATTATAACATTTCACAATATGTGAATCATCACAATAAATGGAAGACTAATAGTATTGTCCCAACAAAATTGAAAAGCCTATCACGATTTGTATTAAACTGTTTTTTTTATTTGTTTTTTTCTCTGGAAAACACAATAATGTCCTTATTATATAAGAAGGCGTCGTGGTGGATGAGTGATTAAGCGCTTGGCTTCCGAGCCTAGGAATCTAATGTTCAATTTTAAATTTCGGGATTCGTATGGACGTTCCTGAGTCCACCCAGCTCCAATGGGTTCTTGGCGTTAGTTGGGAAAGTAAAAGCGGCTGCTCGCTGTGATGGCCACATGACGCCCTCGATAACTATCGGCCATAAAAACTAATGTTCTTGACATAATCTGCCTTTGAATCTGTCATTGACAAATCATGTGTCCTGGCGTCTCGGTGGCGAGATCAGACGAAAGCGATATCAGCCGAAGTTGAATTCATTGGAGATCTTCCATGTTGTAGGAATATCGAAAGCATACAAGACAATGAAGTAAGAACAACAAGGGTATTGAATTTGTTGAACAAAATAATATGAATACTTTAGGTCAGCGGTTCTCAACCTTTTGATCTAAGCGAGCCCTCTTTACAATCCCACACTCTGCCGTGGTTAAATGCTGGGTACTCCAAACTGTGAGCTTCATTGGCAGATGTGTAGATCAGACCGAAAAGATGCGTGGTGACAACTTAATCGTGCGGAACAGGCCGTCCTAGCCCAGTTCCTAGTCGGCCACTGTCTTATCGGTGTTTACTTCGGACGGTTTCGAGAAAACCACGACACACGGTGCCGCCACTACGTAGAGGACGTAGAAACAGTGGACCGCATTCTTTTTGAATGTCGCGTTCTGCATGAAGGACGATCGGGACAAGGATTGGAGAGAGAGAGAGAACTGGAACGTGTGGAGCAATGGGTCTGTCCTTGTACGGGGACAAGGCGACCTTAAAACTCACTGCCCGCTTTCTTTCATAATCTCAGCATGGTTCGTTTACTTATGGGGTTTCTGATTCGGGTACTCCAAAGAATTTCTTCTGGATGGATGACACTCACTAACCTTCAGATATATCAATTGGATGAAGACCAGGCACGGACTGAATGTCAAAATCGACCCGGACTTTTCTAAATAATGCGGCCCACAAATTCTATGTCATATGATGGACATCCATTTCTAGGTCTACCTGTCCTCAAAATCATTCTGTTACGTTTGATATTGTATTGATATGAATGCATTCAGTGAACTCTATATGTTTATATGAAATATAGGCCTTATGTTGCTTTTTAATCGCTAAGTATGTAGGCCCTAAAAGGGCGAAGCCTACTAGTAGTACTGTCTACCAATGAAGGCTATTACATTATTTCAGAAAATGTGAACTTAAAATAGTGTTACACTGTAGAGTCTGTGAAAGATTTAATTTAAACACGACGCTCCGTGGGCCTTTTTATAAGAGAATAGTATAAAACCTTAAACAATTTGATGTGTGGCATAGTGGGCCCTACCGGTCCATTGGGGTACCGGCCCACCGGGCATTTGCCCAAATGCCCATACAGCCAGTCCGCCCATGATGAAGACCCACCGATAGTGACAGAAATAAAAAAGGACTACGTTGGCCAGGTCACCTTGAACGAATGTCAAAGAATAGAGGAGCAAAAATTGTATACCGGCAAAAACCATAAAGGCAGCCGACCCAAAGGCAGACCCCGAGTACAATGGACTGACGATGTCGAGACAGATCTACAACAGCTTGGGGTTCAGGCGTGGAAATGAAAGGCTCAGGAGAGATCTGAATGGGGGGATGAGCTGATGTAGGCCTGAGCTCCTACACGTGATGTAGCGCCACTGGGAAGGATGAATGGATGGAAGGATGATATTAATCCTTTAGCCTACTCTTCTTCTACCACTGTCTTCTTATCTCTGGAACCTGTTGTTTTTATAGTGGACATACAATGGTGTTTTTATAGTGGACATATATTAAAGACCACGGCAGTTTTTTTTACAAGAATATTTGTTTCTGCTTTATGGGACCAAAGTTTATTTTATCAGACAATTTTATATATATATATATATATATATATATATATATGTATATATATATATATATATAGTAAAGTAACTCTTTCAAACCTTGCGACCTATAGGGGATATGATGATAGGGTCATGTGGCCAGCACAACGACCAACCGCCTTTGCGTTATCCATCTAATACCAGGTATCCATTAGAGCCGGGTGGACTCTGGGACGTGGCAAGTAACCCGAAATTCAAAATCCCAGTCTTCTGAGAGATTTGAACCCGAGACTTCTCGATTTAAAAGCCAAGCGCTTTACCACTCAGCCACCACTCCCCGAGACAAAGAAAAAAATATGTTATTTATTTTAAAAAATGGCTAGATCTACTTCATCTTGATCCGAGATTCGGTGTGATAAATAACGTGTACAAACTTTTTTACCAAACTGACGATACCAACGTTGATTCCAAAGAATGTGGTAAATAATTAAGGAGAGAAAGAGTTAAAAGCCTACGACAAGAGCCATGGCTAATAGTGATATGCTTTATGTCAATCGCGGGGCTTCTGCCTGTCAAAGCGGCCTAAAGCCGGCACTGCAGCTACAGATAGAGATGAAATCCACGTAAAGAGCAAGGGAGTGGAATAGAAAGAAGAGGAGACAGGAAGAGAAAGAGACAGGGAGATAGGCCTAAAAAGGGGAAAAAATAGGATGGAAGAGATATACAGAATGAGGGAGAGAAAAAGAGACTAAGATAGGGGGAGAGAGAGAGAGAGAGAGAGAGCATGAATGAAACAGCCAACTTCCTTGTTTTTATGTACCGGCCAAATCTAATCTAACCAACCCAGCAGCAGATACATTCCCTTGCAGAGTTATTTATAAAATGTTTTACATGTTTCAGATGTTCCTTCAGAGTTGAAGATAGTTTACTTCCTAGTCCAAACCTCCCGCAGGACGACGGGGGATGGGAGCGGGCAGGATTTGAACCCTCGACCATCGATAAATCCGAACGACAGTCCAGCGCGCAAACCGCACGACCAGACAGCCATCAAGGAGGAAATAAAAAGACAAATATTAATCAAACTCCCCTTTCAGATATTGTGGTCTATAGGGCAGATGATGCAATGGTCGTCTTTTTCTTTTCTGTGGCCTACGGTTAACGAAGGTGTCATGTGGCCAGCACAACGACCAACCGCCTTTCCTTTTTCCCCAACTATACGCCAGGCATCCATTAGAGCTGGGTGGACTCAGAGGCGCCCGAAAATCCCGAAATTAAAAATCCCAGTTTTCACCCACGATTCGAACCCGGAACCTCCTGTTCGGAAGTCAATCGCTTTACCGCTCGGCCACCACGCCTCTAATCGAACTCTACGATTACATATTGTATCTACTGGAATAATTTGACAATTACAGTCGGATAAGGGATGGTACTCTCCTATTTGTATAAATGTTCTTTCATTTAAGGGGTTTAATGACATCAGTCTTTTCTTCATTTTTTAGTGTCTTTTTTATGTTCACAAAAGTAATTATATTCTTTCTTTCTCTTTCATGATCTTTCCTTTCATTTCTCTACTTTTTTTCTCTTTCTTTTTCTTTATCTCTCTTATTCTCTCTCTTTTCTCACGCTCTCGTTTTCTGTCTTTAACTCCTCATTCAAAGATAAAATGACGCTGCTAAATCATGGCCTGGTCTCTAAAGTTCAACACTTGAAATCTTCCGTCCTCGATCCGGCTAGTCCAGCGTTAGGTTTCAACGACCGAAACTGTCCCACTAGGGAACGAAACTGTCAACAGAAACTTGCTTATGAAGCGAAACTTTGAACCATAGACATGAATATTGTATAATCTCGACGTGTTGA